AATGTTTCATGAGGGTACTCTTACCACATGGCACAACAGTTTTCAACCTGTGTGCTGCAAGAATTGTTAAAACTTTCAATACCTGACTATTTAGTCAGGGGCACTGACCACTTTTCCCTCCGGAACAAGCGAGGACCTAGGACTTTCAGAGAGGATGACATCTCAGTCCGAGGTTACTCTTACCACGTGGCACAACAGTTTTCAACCTGTGTGCTTCAAGAATTCAATACCTGACTATTTAGTCAGGGGCACTGACCTCTCTTCCCTTGGACTGTCAAGTAAATATATGACAACAGCCAACCGAACAGTAGCTGTTGGATGTAAGTGCCCTGTTTTGAACCATAAATATATAGGTCATATAATAGCGTTGCCCCACGTCACATAAGGTAGCATCTGATAGGTTAATTCTTGGTGCCAGAAATCCTTATATACAAAGCATAGGCACCTGATTTTTTTTGTTGTTGTATTTTTTTTGTAGAGAGAGATGGGGGGAGAAACATGGATGTGAGAGCGAAACATTGATCGGCTGCTTCCTGCATGCCCCCTACCAGGGATCGATTGGGTATAAGCGCCCTGTTTTGAACCATAAATATATAGTTCATTTAATAGAGTTGCCCCCCGTCACATAAGGTAGCATCTGACAGGTTAATTCTTGGTGCCAGAAATCCTTATATACAAAGCATAGGCACCTGATTTTTTTTGTTGTTGTATTTTTTTTGTAGAGAGAGAGGGGGAGAAACATGGATGTGAGAGTGAAACATTTGTCGGCTGCTTCCTGCATGCCCCCTTCCAGGGATCAAGCCCATAACCTGGGCATGTGCTGTGACTAGAAATTGAATTGGCAACCTTTCAGTGCACGGGACCACACCTGCCAGGACATAAGCATCTGATTTTTGAAAGTCACTTTAGAGCAAAAAGGGTAGATAATTACTGTTTTGGGTGTGTGTGTGTGAGTGTGTATTTGTAAATCAAAATTATACCCTTTTTTTGGTCAGATCAACAAAAACTGTATTTTTTATGTGCCACAGTACTTTAGTAATTAGTTTATGTGTGCCAAGAGGTGAAAAGGTTGAAAATTGCTGTACTAGAGATAGCCGTTACTGTGCTCTTCTCAAAGCGTGATAATGTCGGGGATGGAGGAGCCCTTTGTTAGTTTCTGCATACCCAGCACTTGGCTTCCAAGCAGGATCTCTGCACACAGAGAGCTAGGGCCTTGGAGCGAGAGGCCTAGACTTGAGCTCACCATTTACTTGACTTACTCATGGGAAAATTACTTCTCTGCATATCAGTTTTCTTATCTGCAAAATGGGTCAATATGAACTGCCTCATAGAGTTATTATAAACATTAAATTAGACAAAATGCATAAAATGCCTAGTGGGATAGGTGCTAAATTAATGGTGGAGTTTGGATTATTTATTATCGTGTCAGCCACCTATAAATGACCATTGAACAAACTTAGTATTGGCTGCGTATGATTCAGAATGTGATAAAGCGGTTCCTACAAACAATGAACACTGCAACACAGATGTTTTCGGGTGGCATCTAAATGCAGATTGGGTCAGAGCTCCAGGGCCTGGGAGCACCTGTCACGGGCCCTTCTGGACATCTCCTTCAAAGATACAGTGAGTCCTCAATGTTGTTGATAGGGTCTGTGACTCTGAGTGAAATGATCTATCACAGAATCAATTTTACCGCAGTCTAACTGATATAAACAAGAGTTAAATTCCTACAGCTTCTCAACATGATAATGTAGTGATGTTATTTGAGGACTTGCAGTATCTGTAGCCAAAATCCTGGTCTCTGTGGCTGCTCTTTGGCTTCCTTTATTACGGCTGCTTGCTGATCCTCCAAAAGAAGAAATGTCAGGCTCCCTAGCTCTGTTGGCAGGTGGCACCGAGTGACATTTGCTGCCCAGGAGCCACAGGCCTGCAAGGTCAGCACTGGCAGACCTCACCACGAAGGATCTCTCCTTACAGATGATGGATGCCAACCAGCGCTGGGATGTGCCCGAGGCAGTGGAGTGGATGGCAAAGCTGGCCGAGTTCAAGCCTCTGTGGATTGAGGAGCCCACCTCTCCTGATGACATTCTGGGCCACGCCACCATCTCCAAGGTAGAAAAACTGCAGCTGCTGGTGTCCTGTCACTGCCATGGATTTTTGTTTGGTTTTTCAGGGTGGCCGCAACAGATCCTACAATTCCTTTGCCTTTTCCTGATGAAGTAGCTGAAATAATTGTAACTTGTTACCGGTACTGGCATGCAGACCTGTCATGCTTTTGTTCACATCAGTTTATCTACTGCCCTTTATTTCTGTTTATTGCAGAGAAAGAAAATGGCTAAAAGCTGAAAGGCTACCAGTCATCCTGTTAACGTAAATAGACATGGTTGTCGTGCTTTGTAAATATAGAAATCTGACTGATAGTAAAATATTTTGTTCATCCAGAACAAAACAAAAAAATGTAGATCCCTCCAGATAACTCAAAAGAAAAGGCTTGCTTAGCTATGTCAAGGTCAGGCCTCCCCAAGAGAAGGCTGCCCGTTGTGTCCTTCGAACCAGGACCCCTCTTCCTCAAGTCCACCCGAACTGGGGGCGGGCCTCTCTCCCTGATTTGTCTGAACAGGTGAGAAACATCCCATCTCTCAGGGAGGGTTTCCCATTAGCCCAGCTTACAGCACTGACACATAAACCTGCCAGCTGGTGAATTTAGAACGAAAACTGTAACTTCTGGGAGCTCCAGCTTTTGGATTCCTCTGACCAGAGCAAGCTCCATGAGCAGCCATATTCAACGATAGGCTGCTGGGTGAGTGAGGAACCAGACGCTACAAAAACCTGTGCTTGGGGAACGCCCGCCACTTTCCCACTTCACAGTCTGGCTGGAGAGAAAAACTAAGATCAATGAAACAGGTGGGACGTGGGGCGGGCCCTGCGTGCTGAGGGCATAGAAAGAAGGTCACGGAGGGAGGCGTGTGTGGGCTGAACGACAGAAGCCCCTCCTGGAGCTACGGCAGAGCTGATCTGTAAGGAAAGCTGCACTGCAGGTGAGGGACACCGAGCAGGAGCCGTGGAGTGACCGTAGCCTTTAATTTAAACAGCGGAAATCTTCCCAGGAATTGCCTCAGAATGAGAGTGGTGAGGGCTCATGGGTAAACAGGACTTTCTGCCTCGGGGTTCCTGTGGCATAGCCGTGTCCCAGTGGCTGCCGACTTGTCACTCAGGGACCAGAACCACTGCCACCTGGAGAGCCTCCTTGGAAGCTCTTCTGGACTTCTACTCTCCCAGGTTTTGTTTATGTCTGAAGGCCATCTTCTCAGTAGGCATCTGAAGAAGGGGCTGGGGAGCCAAGGCGGGCGGGGGGAAGCTGAGAGAGCCAGCACAGTGGGGCCGTGGAGGGACCCGATGGAATGGGGGTGCTGAGGCAGGCTGCCTTATATTTTATAGGCATTGGTTCCATTAGGCATTGGCGTTGCCACGGGAGAGCAGGTATGTGGCGTCTCCTTGGGGTCGGTCCGCCTAGGGAGGACATCGTCTGATGTCCGGGTACATCCTTAGTATTTTGAGTTGGAAAATGTTCATAATCTTAGAAACTGGGTCACCTTACAGCCCTTCATTAGGGTCAAGAGTCAGCTATAGTCAAAAGTTTCTGGATTGTTCTATAATTCATATGACTAAGGTCCTTTATTCTTTTCAAAGTGTCTAATGGAAATGTAGAAGGCAGCAATTTAAACTAGCTACTTGCCAAGGCATAAAATTCACTGTGTGAGTCTAAGAAAGCCAGCTTCCAACTTGAGTAAACATGACCGCGTTCACGCGCTGTGCTTACAAACGGAGCACACCCGCCTGCCAAAACCTGCGGCAGCCAGCCCACGAGCAGCCAGGGAGAGGGAACAGACTCCCGGCTTTCCCCGCAAAAGGAGCAGTGCTGCTTCGCCACAGCTCTGTTTTGTCCTCTGTGCCATCTGCTCGTCCCCGTCGCCGTGTAGCATCTGCTGCTTCACTTTGCTGTGACAGTTACTCCGTAAGAGGCGGCGCGCAGTGTGATTTCCCATGACTCACACAGTTCCACCTGCAGGTTTGTAAAGAAGCGATTGGACGGCCCCCGCCTGGACTATCAGGGCTTGACTCATGCCGAGTGAGAACAGAATAAATACAGTCCAGGCTTCCGGAAGGTCTTGGAATTGGCGTGTTGCCAGGTTCGCAGACCCCGAGGGCCAAGGCTGATGCTTCTGCTGATCTTACTGACATTCTGTTCCCAGCGCCACAACAGAGTGATGTTTAAGCAGCTCCTACAGGCGAAAGCCCTGCAGTTTCTCCAGATTGACAGCTGCAGGCCGGGAAGTGTCAATGAGAACCTCTCAGTGTTGCTGATGGCCAAGAAATTTGAAAGTAAGGGTGTGGCAGCCTGCAGACCGCACCTCCCTTTCCCTGCCCGCAGACACCTGTGGTTCCCTCTGTAGTTTGCCATTTAATTTTTTCTCTCTTAGGCTTAATCAGGGGATCTTTGATGATTTTCATCCCTAAACATTAATGGATGATTTAACTCCTTGCTGGCAATAACAACCACAGGTTTCCAACCCTTCCCTCTCTCTGCCCTACGCCTGGCGTTCAGTAGAAATCTGCCTTCATTTTAGTTCCTGTTTGCCCCCATGCTGGTGGAGTTGGCCTTGTGAACTGGTTCAGCATCTGCTTCTATTTGACTTCATATCAGTCTCTGCAAGCCTCACAAACAGGTGAGTGATGTGGCGTTAACTTCCACAGTGTCCCTCAGCCCAGATCTTTTATTCCTGCTCTGGTGACCAGAGGCTCTAAGAACCCTGTCCTTGGGGACATCCTGTGACTCAAAGGCCAGGTTGGTTTTGCTCCCACTTCACATGGGACAGCAACAAGGAAGACCCTCTAGTAAGTAGTCATTTTTCACTTAGTGGCGTGGGTTCTTGGGAGCTGAATCAGCTTGTTTTGTAAGTACATGGAGGTAGGGGAGGTGATGCTTTCAACCCGATGGAAACCAGAACTCCTTCAACCAGCACCTGTTTCTGACTTTCTAAAGCCCCACTTCCATCATCGGTGTATTCTCTGCCCTGCCCAACTTCTCTTCCTAGCACTGGACTCCTCCCTGACCTGCCCACACCATTGCCATGTAGTTCCCTCTGATTTCTCAACGTGTCCCACCTGAGCGTTAAACTAAGACAGTCTCCTTCCAGTCGCCTGCACACATGGAGATTCATTATGCTTTCGTTCCTCCTGGAAGTAAATGTGGTATCGCAGAAAGCTCCCTAGAAACATATAGTGAAAGCATAAAAACATGCATGGGAAAGGTAAATACCAGACTCAGGATTGTGAGAGAAATGGACCTGGAAGGGCATATAGGGGCTTCAGTTATAAAGTACCAATTCCTTTCTTAAGCTGGGTGTTGAGTAGGCACATGCTGCCTTTTAATATGTCTACAGGATTTGTTTTTTCCAGAGACTTGTATTTCTTTTGTTAAGGGACATTTAGGAAGTATTAATATTGTACGTTTTTACATTGCCTTCTAAGAACTGTCCAGAAAGCTCTCCATATACAGTACTGGACATGCACTGGAACTGCTGGCCAGTGTTCTGTGTATTGACTTTTAATCAGGGTTCTTAGGGAAAAAGACGTTTTATAGAGTTCCCTAATATCTCTTCTCTCTCTAAAGTATTTTAAACCATAAAAAATAAACATTCCTAGGATATTCTGCTTTTGCCCCTCTCATTTCAGTTCCTGAAGGCAGGACCAAGGACCAACCTTGCAGGCCTTGAGGGATGAGACAGCGGGTCAGCCCTGAGCCACTGTGACTGTGACCGCCCAGGAGTGACGGAAAGTGCCTCCTGCCACTCTGCTGTAAGCAGCTCATCCCTCACCGCTCAGGGATGGCACTGTGCTGGCAGAAAGCCAGACAGACACTGTGCTGCCACACCCCAACGCCTCTGCGTTGTGATTTCTGTGTGGAACACTGTTCTCTGTTCAGTCTTCAAGGCCCAACTGTCTCTCCCATGGGGCTGGTTCATCTGTTCTTTACAGGTTAGAGGGAGCGAACAGTATATCGTCAATGACTTAGTATTTGTGTCCACGGAAAGCACGAGGCCCTCTCTTGCCAATTCCTTTGTGTATCCCCTGCCCCGGGCACATGCCTGTCCCTCACAGCAGCTGTTCATTAGCTGGTGACTAAAGTTAGGCAGCAGTTAGGCCATTGGCTCCATATAACAAAACTAGAAAGTGGCTGATACCAAATTTGAACAGATTGGTCTGATCCTAAAACCTGTGCTCTTCTAAATCGTGTGTATAGCTGGAAGGGACCCCGTTTGGTGATTTTAATCTATTCATCTAACTTTTGGCAAAAGGCACCCAAATAATTCCAGATCCTGCCAAATATCAACAGTACAACGATTGAAATTTCTTTTGAGAGCCAAATTTTTTAAATTATATAGGTAGGTACATTGTTATTCACTTAATTAGGGTACTCATAAGCTGGCCTTTGCTAAAAACGTCCTCAATCTGATTGAGGTACGTTCGCTGAGGTCGACCCCTTCCAACTCTCACATCCACACTCATCTTGTACACTTGTTTCAGATAGACGAGTGTGGATGGGAGTTGGAAGGGGTCGACCTCAACCAACGTACCTCAAAACAATGTACCTCCCCCCGCGCTGTGTATCCCGCAGCCGTCGCCCGACCTACTGACAACCTCCACTTCTTCTAACGCCACTTCTTCAAAATAGATTAGCCCAGGCCGAAAACCGACTTCTGCGCATGGGCCACGAGGTTTCAATCGCACTGTGCGTGCACACCTGCATGTGGTATTTTGTGGAAGAGCCACACTCAAGGGGCCAAAGAGTCGCATGTGGCTCACGAGCCGCGGTTTGCCATCCACTGAGCTAGACCCTAGTACACAAAGCTTTGACTCCTTAAGAGTTTATTTTCATATCTAGAAACCAATGGCTTTTTAGTCAACACCAAATTCCCAAGGCCTACAGGTCAGAGTTTGGGGGTGAAACTGCCCAACAAGGCCCCTCTAATGCCACCTTTTCCTCGCCAGCTGAGATCTTAAAATGTGCATTCCTTGTGCAAACAAAACAAATAAACTGGCACCAACTAGCAGGCTAGTCAGCTGACAAGGTATGAGGGCAGTTGTGTTATCTGGGCCATTTACCCTCAACAGGGTCGAGGTCAGGCCTCATTTTCAGAAGCTGAGCTATCAGAGGAAACTTGATTTGTGCATTAATCCTACAAGTGGCCCTCTCCTCCATTTCAAACAACCAGAACATTTATTTTAAAAGTACTAATTCAGTTGCCTTTATCTTAGATTTAAAAGCATATTTAGGAGCAGCAGAAATACATAAAACAAATGTTTTTTTTTGCTAAAAATAAAAGTGGTTGTTAACACTTGTTTTTTGTTTGTTTTTTTGTCTCTTACAGGAAGTTGGCTATTCCACAGAAATGAAGGAGGAATCTATAAAGAAACACCAATACCCAGATGGTGAAGTCTGGAAGAAACTCCTTACGACTCAAGGGAATTAAGGATTCGGCCCTCACACCCACTTCTTTTTTAAGTGATAAGGCTTAAAATTTCTTGGGTCTGGTTTTATGAAAATAGGGGAAAAATCATCTACCAATGAAAACAAATTCAGCTGAAAGTCATATTAACCTCAAGAATCAGCACAGTAATTATTATTACTTAATTCTTTTATCAAATAAACATACTCTCCTACTTAGGCCTTAAACAAATTTAAATGTAACTAGCTCAAAGTATAAGATGTTCTTATAAGATTTCTATCAAGTGCTTGTACCCAGACATTAAACTGTACTTTGAAAATAAGCAGCATGTTGCATAACTTCTTGGAACAATTCCTTATTCTATTTAACATTTCATACATTAGCAGAATAAAAATAGTTCTGCAGCACCGTGGGGTATCTGGTATGCAACAAAGATAAAGATTCCACTAATTAGCCCAAAGTGGTTTAGCATCTCTTTTCCAGCTCATTCTAAGCACATTACAGAATTTACACTGTACTGAACTATAAGCAAAAGCCTATTTCATAGTCTTTTTTAAAATAACCCTTTTTTTAAAAAAACCTTTATCCTAAATAATTTAAAAAAATGTTACTGATTTTTTAGCGAGAGAGGGAGAGGGAGAAACCTTGAGAAACATCGATCAGTTGCCTCCTGCACTGACCCCAACTGGGGATTGAACCCACAACCTGGGTATATGCCCTGACCAGAAACTGGCAACCTTTGGTGCACAGGATGACGCTCAACCGAGCCATACCAGGCAAGGCTATCCTAAATAATTTTAATGATAAAATGCAGCTAGAATTAGATAAATCATAGAAAAATTTAATAGTTTAGTCAGCATTTCTAAAATATATTCTAACCTCAGCAGCATCCAAACAAGAATATAGCATGTTTAGTAAGACAGGAACTGTGCCGAACGGCAATAGAGAAAGAAGAAAACCTAGTTGAATGCAGAACGCTTCTTTATTATAACAATATATAAAACAAACAACTTTAAATATAACCACACCAAACATACATTATCATCACTGCTGTTATTATTCAGCTTGCTCAAATGTGAGGGAATAATTTACAATTCTTGAAATCATTAACCATACAAATGTGGAAGTGAAATGCATGTACATATTTTTAAAGTATATACATTTTTACTGTCTTCACTTTATTCATCATCTCAGCATTTTCATACATCCTCATTCAGTTAAGGCATTTTATTACTAAGAGAGTCAGCACAGCTATATTTGCCAGTGGTAACAGTCTTACATCCATTCCAACCCCTAAAGGCAGTATTCTTCATCAGTGGTAACAGTCTTAAGTTAATGAGTAATAACTGGCAGTTACCAACTGATTTTTGGCCTACTTCCTTCTTTCTTTAGAACAAAAAAGAATTTCCACCTAAGCATCCATTCCAACCCCTAAAGGCAGTATTCTTCAAACAACTCCTTTAAAAGCACTTTAAACAGCCATTTCCATTTTAATAGTCGGATGAGGATTGTACCCCTCAATCTGAAAGTCTTCAGTCTTGAAGTCATCGATTGTCTCAACTTTTCGAAGGATTTTGAGCTTTGGGAAAGGCCTTGGTTCTCGCTGAAGCTACAAACAGCAGACCATTATTTTGCTATATCTGTACTACTGCTTTAATTCTGCTCCCCACATCCCTTCATGAGATAAGCACACAGTACTTTATCAGCAAGTATTACTTTACAGGGGCTCAGTGATACTGTGGATACCTTTTCCCTGGTTATGCAATCCTGTTGGAACATAACTATTTCTGTCACATACATGGAAAGCGGAGGGTATTTTGTGGAATCATTTGATGTCAGGAGCCTGGTGGCTCCCCAAGTGTAAGTTCTTATGATTGCTTGCTCCTGGTAAATTTATCAAGGACTGGACACAGTCTCTTACTGTTGTATCTGTAACTCATAGTAGGCACTCCAAAATGGTTACCTGAACCCCACAATTCCTATTCCAACTAGCCCTGGCAGAAAGGGCAAGGAAAGATGACATCTGTTGACAATGAACAGAAAGGGATGCAAGCCGGATTCCTGAGATGAACTGCGCTGATGAGGATGTGACAAAGGTCATGACCTCACTTTATTCTGGCCAGCATGACAGTAGTGGGGAGCTAGAGAAGCATCTGGATAAGCCTTGAAGCCACCCTCTAAGTCAACACAGACACATTTCCTCCAAGGAGAAACTTTCAAAACCTGGATCTAATCTGGAAGGGCCTAAAGGTTTGGGGGTTGACATTTTTTATTCTTGGGGCTCATTATGCAGACACTCATATTTTTTATTGCCATTTTCCAATCATCTTTTGGCTGCTATAATTTATGGACTTGAACCTCTTTTTGAAAGTTCAGACCTAAGTACTGTATTTAGGATAAACTTAAGGGAAAATATTGAAATGCTACCTCTGGGAAGGTCCCAAATTCTCTGGTCTGCATGTGGCTTAGTCCCCCACAGCCCGTCACACCTGTGGTAGCGGAGGTGTGTGTCTTCTTTGTCTCCACCCACCTGCCCACCATCCAAGCTCTGCAGTCAGAACCTGTCACCTTATCTGTCACCGCACCGGGAAGAATGCCTAATATAATAGGGATGTTCTACAAACCAACCTTCAATGTGCAACAGATGGAATCCTTACCTGCATTTTCAGCGGCTCAATATGATTCAAGTAGATGTGTGCATCTCCCAACGTGTGCACGAAGTCACCTGGCTGAGTGCATGGAAGGAAGCAAAACAGGAAGTGTTTTAGTTTTAATCCCTCTTCAACACATCCCTTAAAAACACATTATGCAGAGTATGCAGATATCGCAGAGCTTTTCAGAACATAAAGATAACCAGTGTTGCTTTTAAGAAAAGTTAATTTAGAAAAGTTGCCTTATATTATAAACAACTTATATAAACTTGTTCATACAGACCACAAGGATGGGAAAGTTCCAGGGAGAGTTACAAAATGAGCCAGTTCATTCTTTTTCCTACCCATTTTTCATTTTGCTTTTTTCCTCGGTTTTTGTTGGTTTCTTTTAAAAAAAGTTTTCTTTTTCTAGTTGATTTTCTATTTATGTATGTTTTAAGCTCACAGTTGAGTCAGTTCATTTCTTATTTAACTGAGAATTCTGTGCAATTAGTTTTTTTCATGTTAAAGAACCCAAGAGTTTAGCTCTTTAGGCCAGCAACAATTGCTCCTTCCTAAGAGCAGCCCACCTTCAGGCCGGTGATGTGTGCGATCATGTAGGTGAGCAGGGCGTAGCTGGCGATGTTGAAGGGCACACCTAGCCCCATGTCTGCTGACCTCTGGTACAGCTGGCAGGACAGCTCACCGTTCACCACGTAGAACTGGCAGAGGGCATGGCATGGGGGCAGGGCCATCGAAGGAAGATCTGAGGAGCCAGCACAGAGGAATATAAGCGGGGGAGAGGGGGTGGGAGGGTTAAAGAACACAACTATAGGCAAAGTAAAACAGGAGCGAAACACAAGCCAACTCCTAAGTCGGAGGTCATGTGACCCCCATGACCCACACCTGCCCCTCATGGCAGAAGCAGACCATTCCAGTCACAGGGATGGCACAAACCCGACCGAGACCTGTCCATTAACAGGCCTCCTGCAATGCACATTTACAATGGGAGAAGCAATGCTCTCCCACACGAGCTGAAATTATTTGTGCTACCTTCACAGAAAGAATGAGTTCATTTGTAGGGACCACAGGAGACTAGCGTCTCTATTATAAATGTAAATATTCTGCTCTGGGTCTTTATTACACATTGGTAAAGTTTAATTTTATAATACTGTTGCTACAAATAATAATATCAAGGTAGAAGGGCACTGAAACTTCTGCCCCAATTTAAAATGTTAAAATCTTACATGTATTTTTATAGGCCATTTAAAACTTTTTTTTTAAAGTAAGAATAAGTATAAATATACAAATTGAGGCGATCTGGATCCAATTCCATCCTCTGAAGGTGAAAATGAGGCCAACTGTGACTTGCCGAGGGTCACCCAAGTGATCATGGGCCTGGGGGGTTCCGAGGGCCTGCCTCCTGCTGGAGGCCCCTGCAACAAGGCGACATTGCTTCCCCTGATGCCAACCATACAGTTAGGACAGGAGAGGAGGACTGAGATGCTTTCAACCTTTTGGATTCCAAGCACACAGGATGATTCTTCTGTCATCAGGGTTGGTTTTGATGGTGTCAATCACCTTTTGCAGTTGGTCTACTCCTTGATGGGAATAATCTGTAGAATTATTGAAATGAGAAGATGTGCACATGTTAATTACATCATCTGGTGAGATGGCCTCACAGGTCATCTGTCATACTGTCCTTCCGCAGCCCCACCTTGGCTCATGGTTTCAAGAAATCCAAATGCACTTGGTAAATTTCTCAGGTTATGTGGAGTTCAAGGCCTGGTCTAGGCTCCTAGGTCTATCCTCTGGAGCCATAACAAAGTCTATTTTCTTTTCTATGTAAAAATCCTTTAAGTATTTGGTTGGTCATGTTACTTCCTCCCCCTCACCCCCCAATTTCAACACTCCACTCCCCGCTCTCCTTAGCCCTTGGCAACCACCATTCTATCTCTATGAATGTGCCTATTCCAGGTCTACACAGCACTTTAAAACTTAATGAAGTTGCCAGCATTCAAAAGATCTCAAGATTGCACATAAAATACAGATTTTAGGTTTTTATTGAAGAATTCTGACAATATCAGGCCCACATCTCTCTAACTGCAGGAGATGAGCTGTCACTGCCCCCTTTAGATGAGACTCATGCTCTCCAGATTGCGGGTCTCTGCCCAGCTAGCAAACTGTTACTTCCTGCACACACGCCTGTGTACACACACACACACTGAAGGACACATTTGCTTTTATAACCTCTGACCTAAAGATAAGTGGGCCAGAGGGGAAAGGACCAGGGCTGGACTCGATAAGTAGTGCCACCATGTGACAGAGGAAGGTGGACCCCAGGAGTGAGATGTTTCCTCTTTCTCCACCCAGCAGGATGGGGAGGAGAGGTGACTCGGGATATGAGCTATCCCATCAGGGCCACTTGCAATGTGATGAAAAGGGAAACCAAAGGCTCTGCAAGGCCAGCTCTGGGAGGTCAGCCCCCCAGATGAGCTTCCTACCTTACCCCCCCAACACAATTTGCTACTATTTGAGTTCAAGGCCTGGTCCACTGTGCCACTATTCGCTAAGGAAACAAGGTACAGGAAGTGCCAAGCACCCAATAATGCTAATCACTGGGAGTGTGATCTGACCTTCATGAGGTGTGGTCGCCGCTACTGAACCCGAAACAGCCTCCCACAAGGTTAGTTACGCATCAGTCCCCCAGACCCTGGCTTATCCCCAACACTTCATATGAAACTGTGGAGCTACGACATGGAGCCACGACGGCGCTCAGGGATCCGAGGCAGCACTGCCTCCTCACCTGAATCCATATCTTTGTAGTCTGCCCCAAAATGCCTCCACTGAAAGCCATAAACGGGGCCTAAATCTCCTTCTTTTCTGCTGGAGAATCCCAGGCTGTCCAGGAAGTCACGGGACCCATTGGCGTCCCAGATTCTCACTCCCTTGGACGACAGTTCTTTAGCATTGGTGGATCCCTGGAAGAGAGGGGAGCGTAGAGCAGGAGAATTCACTCACCCAGGAACCTTCAGAGCCATCGGGACTCATCCTCTAAGAGCCCCGACCACGCCGGCAACAGGCCCTCTACCGTCCCTGCACAGCCTGTCCCACCTTTAAGCAGGCTGGTCCCAGCCCAAACTTTGAAGGGCCTGCCGGTCAGTCTGATCCTCCTCTGGAACCACCCTCTCAAATCTTTTTTTTTTTTCCTGTTCCCCTTAACTAAATTTCCTAGACTGAACACATCCAAGTCCTTTAATTATATTCCTACCCCATCTAGCAGTTTTGTGTTTCTTCACCAAATGTGTTCTGTGTCAAAGTGTGATACCCCGAATGAGTGTAACGCCTCACCTGCAATCTGTTGGGAGCACCTCCGATCTGGTGTACAGAATATTTCTACTGATTGGCCTAATCAGCACCAGCTTTTCTAGCAAGTGGATCTGTCACAGATCTTAAACGTGCCACTCTCAAGTTCTGTTTACCCCAACTTATACTCGAACGGTTAAGGTGTGGTTGGTTGGTTTTTGCCAAGTACAAGCCTTATGTTTATTTCTCTGATACTTTGTCTTATTAGATTTGGCCCTTGTCATCCTAGCCTGGATCCTGAGTGTGCGTTCAGGTCAAGGACAGACCTCCACTGTCTGGTGTCTTCGGGCCTGATGTGCCAGAATGGTTACAAGCAAGGCTACATTGCCACACAACCTTGGCTCTGCGCCTACCCTCTCACTTCCTTCTTTTTTAATATATTTTATTGATTTTTTACAGAGAGGAAAGGAGAGAGATAGAGAGTTAGAAACATCGATCAGCTGCCTCCTGCACATCTCCTACTGGGGATGTGCCCACAACCAAGGTACATGCCCTTAACCGGAATTGAACCTGGGACCTTTCAGTCTGCAGGCTGACACTCTATCCACCGAGCCAAACCGGTTTTGGCTCACTTCCCTTCTTTACCTTGATGAACCACAGCAACTCCTCCAGGACACCCTTCCAGAACACACGCTTGGTTGTCAGCAGAGGAAACTCATCTGAAAAACAGTTTGCCTTATAATTTCAAGATGGGAAAAGAGCACATGCCATCCAACTTTCTCTATGGAAGAAAACTATCCCAGGACATCAGGCCCTGGAGTGACCTGGAAAACTGCGACTCCTGGCTGAGTGGGCGCCCGGGATCAGGGTGGAGCTCCCAGGGTGCAGTGCAAGTCACACAATTCTGACGGAGACCACCCTCCTAAGCCCTGCATCCACCAGACACAGCAGTTCCACACAGTGAGCTGGGGCAGGGGCAGCTGCCAGACCGGGATGCTGTGGGGACAGAGAAAGGGCAACCATCCGCACCGTTAGTGAAGACAACAGGAAAGAGCTGAAGGCTCCCAGGACTATTCCATGATTAACCTGCTGAGGAAAGCTTGTTCAGGACCTACAGAAAGTAGATATCACTCTGGCCAAGACTGAAGAGTCGTTTTTTTAGAGGTTTGCAAAGCAAATCAACCTCAAGGTTTTAAGTGTACCCCAAATGGTAATGTTTAAACACTTTATATACATGATCCTATTTCATCTCCAACCCTCCTTAAGGCACCTGTATGATCTCCACTCTACAGTACCCAGGAGGGAATATAGAAGTTTGCATCAAGAAATAGAAAAATACAAATGTAAAGCTTATCTCTTTTCAGTTGTGTAGTTGATATTCATGTAACAAGGATACATTTTTCAAGCACCTACTGTTATCATTATTTCCTCCATTTCAAGTGCATGGGGAAGTTGAAGACCTGAGAGGTTAAGTAAGCAACTTGCCCCAAGTGTAAGAAGAGCTGGAGCAGAAACTAGGTCTGCGGCTCACTGGAGTCCACTGCTGGTGGGGCTGCAGGATCCCTCCGCTCAACCAAACTCTCAAAGCTGTCCGAGGCAGGGCAGATATTTTCCACTGCAGACGGGAATTTTCCAGTTTGCAGAACGGGTGTGGAGTGCAGAGTTTTACACGTGACCACTGTGGATTTGCATGGCCCGAAGCGTGTCTCCCCCTTAAAACCACCCTCCACACCAGTGTCGGGGAGACATGTCCTGCGCCCACCCGCACCCTTTGTCTCCCGAAAGCCAACAAGAGACACTTTTCCCCAGGAACCATCCTCTTTCAAAGTCAAAGATGAATAGGAACTTCTACTCGGACCATCGAGTTCGTTTCAAGATTCACTAGTAAGAGCAGAGAATGCTGGTGCGCGGGGCCGGATGGGAACACTGCCAGGAGCCATACGTTCACTCTCTTCCCGCCGCCGTTGCCCCGCCCACAACATTTTGGCTCCAATTTTGAAAAACTTTGCGAAGCGCAACGGTCAGTACGGGAAGGGGAGTGGCGCCCAGTGGGACGCCTGGCCCAGCCGCGGGCCAAACCCGGGCAGACCCTCTCCCACTCGGTTCGGGGCAAAACTCCTGGGTCCGGCCCGCTTTGGGGGAGACCACATGGCGAGGCGTCAAGCACCCGGCCTTGGAGCCAGAGGCCTCCGGGGCTTTACTCCCCGGCGCCGTCCCGCCCGTCCTGCGACCCCACGCACATGTGCCCTGGAACCCAAGCCCCAGTGTCGCGTCTGACCAGGGGGACTTAGGACACCTCTCCTTCCCCCGGGACTGGG